TGCAGTCCTGCAGTAGGTAAATACAGGTAACTTTAATATAGCTTAAAATGAAAGTGGAGGGAGAGGGCCAGGAAGGAGATTGTTCTCTGAAGCAGGAGCAAGGCATTGAAGTAAAAGAAATTGGAAGTGGGGTGTGGGGGTGTAGAATCCATGCATTTAGATTTCATATTTTTCTAACCATTGTCTTCTAGCTTCTTGAGTTGTATTTAAAATGAGTAATTTATCCTGGCATCTCACACAATTTAACTATCCTATGTAAAACTCTTGTTTAGAAACATTCTTGAGATAACTTGGTATAAGAGAATTAATTTTAACTCATTGCAGGTGTTGTAAGCAGCTAGCTTAAGTTTATTTCATTTAAAAGTAGCTACTACTGAGCCCTTTCACAAAAGGACCTGGTTTTTGCTAATGCTAGGTCATTTATTGCTCACTTTGCATGTATGCTGTGTGAATTGAGGGAGAACTTTGTGTTTTTACCTTCAGCAGGTATTTTGTGGAACTAAAAGCAACAGCAGAAGAACAAGTGCTAGATAGGTTTGCAGTCAAATGTTGTAAAATACCTAAATCATCATCTTTGCATGGGGCTCTTATTTCCCATAATTCTGTCAAGTTTCACAGGCTTTTTTAGCATAGCTGCATTTACAACAAGAAAACAGAACAAAGTACAGTGCTCTGGAAGAGTCAAAAATCAAGTTGTCCTTTCAATAGATTCAACTCTGTGCTGAGTACCTAACAAAGTTTTGAATTTAGTGATATACTTAATGCCTTAGGGAACTTTATTAATTTTGGAGTGAGGAGGATCTTACAGATATTAAATATCTTTGCAGGAACACTTAGTCAGTCTGGATGAGCCAGCCTCGGAAGCTGGACAAGAAGCTCTGCTTAGACAAGAGCAAGCAAAAATCATTCGTTTTGAAAGGCAAGCGGAAGAGTTCCTCAATGCAGTCTTTTACAGAAAAGGTTGGTTTTAATGGGGGGGAGGGGAAGTGGTGTATCTCACTGGTTTTTTTGCATGCAATGCAGATCTCAAAGCTTTGATGTTCAAGTTGTCATCGTATGTTCAATATTTTTCATTTGTCATATGTACACATAAATCAGCTGTAAAAATTGACTCTCAAATAATGTAGCAATATGACAGTGTGGGCTTGGGACAGAGGGAGAGAGTGTAACATACTTAACTCTAAACCAGATCTCTCCATGGGAATACTGGTGCTTTGCACTTTTGGAGGAATAAATCTCTTCTCTACTCAGCAGAACTTCTCTGAAACCAGTATTTAGATGAGTGGGCTGTTTGGAAGGAGGGGCAAGTGGTGGTGGTTTTTGTTTTGTTTTTAAATTTTAATGGGATCTGTAGTAATGCAGTTTTTCTTAAAGGTCATCAGCCTTCTCACTGTGGTTGGTAGTGATTACACACCCCCAGCAATCCACAGTATAAGATATTGTTGGAACAGTGCTAAGGGGGAATGGAGAATTCAAAACGTGATCAGCAAAAGAATTGGAATATCAGCGCTGTAGAACGTCAGGGGCAATCACAGTAGCTCAGTGCTGGAAAATCCTCTAAATATCTTCTGGAGAGTTATGTCAGTTAAACTGTGCTCTTAGGAAGGCACAGATCTCAACTCACAGTTTTCTACCAATAAGAGAAATAGGAATCCAGAGGTTGCTTCCAAATGCATCCTGAAAGAAAGTACGTTGTACTTATCAGTCTGATCCATGTGTGAGGAAAATCTGCCAAATCAGTAATTCCAACCTGTCTGCTGGGGGACAAAGCAAGGCTTCAGGTTAACAAATTAAAAATTGCTGTAGCCAGTGACCAAAATATTTAAAGGTGTTTTAAGTAGATAACAGTATCTTAGCCTTTCTTTTATGACTCAAATGAATAAATACAAACTATACATTATGGTGTATTGCGTAAAGTATAGAAGCATGTAGGGGGTGGTAGGAAAGATAGTTAATTCATTACTACTGATGGTTCAGATAATGCTTGTATTCCAAGTCTTCATTTTCAGTGTCATTTTCTGGGGTGGGTTTTTTTGGTGTGGTGGTGTGTGGTTTGGGTTGGGTTTTTTTTTCTTTTTTTCCTTCTGCCTTCTGTTTTTTTTCATGTGTGTTTTGTTTTGGTTTTGTTTCTTTTTTTGTTTTGTTTTTGTTCTTCTTTTAAGGTTAATGTTTCCTTTTGCTTTTAGATTTATCCACCTATAGATTTATCTATTTAAATCCAGAATGGATTTAAGAAAACTAAAACCTAGAAAAAACATGCTTTTTTCCATATTACTTTTCTGGTGAGAGGAAAAAAAAAGGCAGTTCCGTCACTTCCAAATTGTTTATTAAATACTTCATCCCCTTAACACTGTGCTTAAATTTTTATGTATGACCTGTGCATGTCTTACTAGGCATGCATACTTTCATAATTATCAGCAAACTATTGGCAGATACTGCAGTGTGCCAATGAGGGGTTTAACACTGTGTGTGGTCAGATACACAGACTGAAGATAATGAAACCACTTCAGGTGTCTGCGCATCTCTGAGAATTTTTTTAGTAGTACACTCTTGCTTTTCTTCCTCTGGCAGAGCTGTGCTTGGTGCAAGAGAAAGAAGGGAGGAGAAGAAGCCTGGCAGGAAGTCAGCTCTGAACCCTTAATGCATTGTTATCAAGCTTGGCTGTATTTAGATTGCTTGAAAAGTAATTCTGACTCATGCCATTGCCATAAGATCCCCAGGCACTGTTACACCAAGGAGGGTACAAGGAATGGCAGAACTCTTAACGCTTCTATGTTGCTCAGAGATGCTTGGCTCTTCTGGTTTCATGCCAGCAATTAGTTTGTTCTTTCTTTCCATTCTTACTGCCAGTAATGTCTGAGACTGGTATTTTGTGGCCGAGACAGATCAGAAAAAACAGGGATGTTCTGCAACAAGATGCATGTCAAGGACATGCCTTCATGCACTTAACGTACATAGGTAATTAGCATTAACAAACTTTCTGAACAGGTTTACTGTCCATTAATCTTATGTGCTTTGTGCCCATGGCACTCTGACCCAGTATTGCTGCTTTCAAACACCCATAATTCCAGTGAAAGCAGAGTGGTAATACCTAGTTGTCCATTACCTTTACCTTGTGGCAGGGTAGGACCTTCTTTTGAAGGTTTAATGAAGTCATACTTTTTTTTTGTTGTTTGATACTACTCTTCTAAGATTTCAGTAAATATATAAAATACACAAAAGCTATTAAGATTTTAAAGCTCAGCGGTACTGCCTTACACTATTATATTTGTTGTATTTTTCTTCTTTGAGAATTTCTGTGATTTACTTAACCTTAGGTTTTGGTGTTTCTTTTTTTGTTTGTTTTGAAAAAAACCTCTAGACACTCGGAGTCAAAATAAACATCTTTAATACATGACTTCAAGTGATACTGCAGAAGCACCAACAAATATTTTGCATTTGCTTTTGAATGCTTTTAATCCTTAGCATTCAAGCTTCTTAGTAAGCAAGAAGCCTTTAATGTGCTAGGTAACTACCCTTCTGGTTGAAAGCAGAATTTTGTGTGTTAAATTAGAGAGCTTGTCTTGAGCACTCAGTAGTCACTCTGTGCTGATTCTTTGAAGTTGCAGATTAGAAAGATGCATGATGGTAGGCATATGTAGTATTTTCTCCCTGAAGCTGGAAATATGTTCAGTGTTACTGAATTGTACTTATGAGCATAAACAGTAAACACATGATTCTTCAGAAAACATAGGTGCCATAGAACTTTTTTCCTGCCAGCCCCACTTGTATACACTACAAGCACATGCCAAATAGCTAATATTGGTGTCATCTTGCCATTGGTTTGTGTCCCTCTGGGCTTTCCTACAGCTTTTCACACATCCTTCAGCTTGTTATAGTAGAGAGCCTAGAAAATGGAAGAAATGTCACTGCAGGAAAAAAAAAGCCTCTCCAGGCTTGAGTCCTTGGGGACCATTTGGGAAGAAAGTGAACATATAAATGTACCCAAAATTAAGTTTGGCTCATGTCTTGATGATTTCTTAAAACTAGTGTCTTGACCTTAGCAACAATAAAACATCCTGTAGATTTTACAAGAACATGATTAACTATTTAAATAAACATCTTGGAAGTTTGCAGTTGCTATACCCCTGTAAGAATTACTATGTAAGATCTTATATTTAGAAAGCTATCCTTAACAGGCAGGAATTTGGGCTTGATTAAGTACTTAAAGCTCAATATGGTTTTTCATCAAGAAACACAGCAGCTGCTTATTGCTACTTTCTAGTTTGTAGGCAACTATGTGCTCAAACCTTCATGTCAGTCATCCTTTACAGATATTCTAAAGCTGGTTTTTTTGGATTGATTCATTTTTGACATTAGTGGTGGTAAAAGGCAAATCTAATGCTGAAATGTCCCACAGAAAATTTTCCTAATACTTCTAATAGTTCAATCTCAATGGATTACCTTTCAACCTGGGTAATTTTTTTTAAAGAGGAAGTAAACACTTTGCTATTGTTCTGTTTTGAGAGCTGCTTTTAAAGATTTGTTTAGTCTTCTACTGCACAATTTTCTCTGAATGTTTCCTCAAAAATAGAAAATCAAACCTTTTGAGCCATTTCGGGAGCTGTTATGGGGTTTATTTGGTGTATTTTTTGTTTCTTTTTTTTTTTAAAAACCTGATTTGGCTGGAGAACACAAGCAGTATTTGAAGTGAAGTGGTAGGACTTAGCTTCTGTGATTTACGAGTTACAGATTTGCCTTGATGTCACAAATTACTGGTGATCTAAACCAGTCATTTTTGCCAATATATTTTTGGGTTGCCCACATCCCCATATACCTTTGTATTTATGTACTGTTTCATATAAATAAATTGGAATGTCTACCTCTTCCAGGTCACATTTCTTATTAATAAAGTTATCAGCTCTTCTAGAAACAGAATTACTTTCACATCTTGTTGGCTTGTATATGTGAAAGCTCTTTGCGTAGTACCTGGTGCTGTGTTGATTATAATGATTGTCAAAAGAATGATATAAAGGAATAGATAGAATGGGGTGGAAGACACTTGAACGTTTGATCTTCATGTGGGTTATTGTGAAGAATCAAAACTAAAGGGCTTTATTTCCCAGTAAATTTGTAGGGGTCTGCTGCAACTCTATTCCCCCTTCTCCCCTTCTGTAGCTGCAGGTAAGTTACTTTATTCTTCCACTCAATAGCCTGTTTTGGGGTTTTTTTATTAAATGAGCTTCATTACGTGGTACTTATCTTCATGAGTCTAGCTCTCCTTTTAGTTTCCACACCTCTTAAAGGTCTGGTCAGATATCTGTATTTGAAAACAAAAGACAAGATTGCATGTTTCTCTTAAGCAACTGTTATTTTGGGAAGGTTATACCAGAATCAGCAATGGTTCTTGTTCAGGTGTTCTAAAACTAAAGTACATTATCTTAGGCTTTCATTTTTTTTTTTTACCTAGATGATATTTTTTGTTAAATCAACAATGACTTAATATGAAAGTTGTTTTACTTAAAGTGCTTCCTTAAAAAAAAATCTCTAATATTTACAGACAGTCCTAGGGTCTCTGACCCAAATATTCCCCTAGTGGCCCGTGAGATCATGCAGCGAATGATCCGACAGTTTGCTGCTGAATATACCTCAAAAAATAGCTCTACTCAGGACTCCAGCCAGCCCAATAGCACAAAGAACCAAAGCCTGCTGAAAGCATCTCTGGTCGCCTCCTCTCCCACGGCTGCAACTGCTCAGAACCCTGTGCTCAGCAAACTTCTCATGGCTGACCAAGACTCACCTCTGGACCTTACTGTCAGAAAGTCTCAGTCAGAACCTAGTGAACAAGGTAGGACTCTTACGAGTGTCTTGCATCCTACGGCAATCCGTTAGTGACGTTCTTGTTGTGTAACCAGACAATTAGAAGTTTGCACTTTTCCATAAAATGTAAAACGGAGAAGTGGTAGATGTTTTTACAGTAAAATAATGACTACCCAGATATGGCTGGGAGAGAAGAGACTTTGTGGGAAAATGTAGGCACATAGACTTGAGTGATTTTTCTGAAGAAGGGCAGAGGGGATGGACATGCTTCAGACTTAGGGGAGAAGCGTGCTGTTCCTGCAGGGAGCTGCAAGAAACAGTCTGCCAAAATAGACTCTATGCTTGCTGATAAAACAAGTCCACGGCGATAAGACAAGTTTTAACGTGGTCATGAAAACCATAATGTTGTCTCCTTTCTGAAGATCAGTATACAGTCAGACTGAAGGACTGATTTAATTTCTTTGTGGTCATAGCGTGAAAACAGTATCTTTTCAAAGTCTGAGACGTTGCTTTGTGAAGACTGTAAAAATTATATCCATGAACTGTACAGGACTTGCGGGTTTCTGCTTTTGGAAGAAATGTCTCGTTTCTACCCTAAAAATAGACTTGCTCTGCAGAGCACAGATTGAATAACTTGTACAGTGTTGCAGAGCTTGTTTTAATTTGAAAACCTTGCTTTCCATCAAAAGCAGTTTTTAACAAGCAAATTCTGTGAGTGATGATACTTTGTGAATGTTTTTTTTTAATGAAGCCATTGAATAGAGGCTATCATAAATCCGTCCTGCTGCTAGGATTAAAACTAGCCCCTTTACCCTTCTTTGGAAAAATTAGTGCCTGAAGTCATCCTGTCAAATAAGAAGTAAGCTGTCTGTCCTCAAATGGAAAAGGTGCCTTATTAAAAAAAAAAAAAGCCTTTTGCTAGCTACTACAGAATTGTAGATATCCCTTTTTACACTGAACTTATGAAGCCTTTTGTAAAAAGGTTAATTCTATGTGTCCAGCAGTATGCAGCTTGAGCATCTGTGAGCCTACTGCCATTACAGCAGTATTGAAAGTTGATGTCACACTTCAGTTATAAAGCTGCAGTGAAAGATTGTGTGGTGTTTTTCTTGAACTGAGGATCTGTATTAAGCTGATAGGCATTTGTTTCTGTCTGACTTTATTAGAAATATATTTCACAAGTGTCTTTTGCATATGTTTTTAAATTCTAAGCTGCTCTCTTTGTGGAGCTTTTCACTGAAAGAGGAAGAGAATCAGGTTGGTTCCTTTTTTTTAATTAGAGGATTGAGTGGTAAAGAAGAAAGCAGGTACATGGTAGCTAAAGAAGAGTTCATGTGACAAAAAAATTGTAAGATAGTTTATAATGTTCATAATCCTTGTTATAGAATTTGAACATGTACATATTAACTTATACAGTAATCTGTTTGCTGATGTATATTTTCTTTTCCAATTTACATTTAATGTAATCGAGAAGAGGTTTTGCCAGACTTGTTAACAAGAGACTGAAGAGGTTGTCATGAAAGACTGCTAGTGTTGTGTATTGGATTTCTATTCTGGTGGGCTGAAGAAGACCCTGCTAATTCTAAACTTCTCTGTGCATTATGAGATTGGCCTTGCTTGCCCTTGAAGACTTCTGGGTAATAATGACCTGTCTGATGGAGAAAGTTTAGTATAGTCTCTTGAAAAAGAGGTGCTACTTGATCCAGTCTCTGTATTTTGTAGTTGCATAAATTGTTCAATTCTCTGCTTGCTTAAGCTTGGGTTATGGTGTGTTCCCAAATGCAGTGGGTGGAACAGCTTTCCATAAGTTAATTCTAGTTCACTGTTTATCATGGTTTTTTTCTCCATATGTCAAATGAGAACTTTAAGCAATCTGAAAACCATCTTAGATTGTTCTTGTGCTAGGTGATATTTACTTGACTAGATGGAATGAGTGAGTTCTGAAATGTCTCTAGTTTACCTTGCCAACAGGTTTCATTTCTCTTTGCTGCATAAATTCCTTGTTTCAGAGTTTCCAGGAATTTCAGATGGCTGTGCTGCTTCTATGGCAATGTTGCCTTTATTAAAATGACCAGAATTTCAAGTTGTTTCAGTGCGGTGGGAGCAAGGCTTTTTTAGCAAAAAGCATGCTCCCTTTTCTGTTGCCCAGAAATGCAGAGTTTACATAAGGGCTTGCAAAGGAGCATGGGTGAGTGTGAGGAAGTGCCATTAGTGAGAATGGATGAAGCAGACTAGCAGGAAAAATAGCTTGGTGTGTGGAAGAAGATAGGAATAAAATGGCACAGCAGAGAGGGGAAAGGCAGCAGCTTTGCCAGTAGGGACCCACTGGAGACATGGAAAAAGGGATGAAGCTAGTTGCCAGGTGAGGAAGAGTCTCACACTTGTGTGTGTGTATTGACTTGAATGTGAGTTTCCAGTATGAAATTCTCAATGAATTTTCCTAAAGAGATTTGATTTTAAATTTTTTTTTTTTCCCAAATACTGGCTTAAATCCCATTCTCTAAGGGGGGGAGTATCTCAGGAATTCGAAGGTTGTCTCATTTTTGGGACCACTTGCGGGTTAGTTATGCAATGGGCTGTGTTGTATCGTGAACTGTCATGTGTAGGTCATCTTTTATTCCCTGGCTCTTGTAGCAGATGTACCTTTAATTTTGCCAATTTTTGTTGTGACTTCTGAGGGCTATCTTGAAGCCACTTGTTAGTCAAATGGCAAATAAATCAGCTTTAGTTTGCTTAAAAATAAGATAAGATAAGATAAGATAAGATAAGATAGAAGTTGTCATAAGCTAAATATGACTTTATCCCCAAAGACTTTTTTTTGTCAAGGGACAACATGGCTGATCCTGCTTCTTCAAACACTGAAGTCATTCTTTTGTCTCCACAGACGGTGTGCTTGACTTATCCACTAAGAAGAGTCCTTGTGCCGGCAGCACCTCTCTGAGTCACTCTCCAGGGTGCTCCAGTACTCCGGGAAATGGGTAAGAGAAAGCAACTTACTATGACCTTCTAAAACTTTTTTTTTAAACTAAGAACATGTGCTTACAATCTGTTAATTTATCTTACTTTTGGTGTTAACCCTTTGGAGTAATGTGTTTTTCAGCTTATACCTTTGGCAAATGCCTTCACCCCACCTGCCAAATAAGAGTTGTTGCAAACTGAGACAGATTTATCTTGCAGTTAAGAACTCTAATGTATATTATTTTGGCCAATTTAGTACTTAGCCAAAGATCTTTCCATTACCTGCTTCTTGGGTTTAGTGACAAGTGTGGAGATGCGAGTTCAGCTAAATATAACTTAGATTTAATTTCACTTAGGGGAAGGTTAGCTGGTAGAAAAGTGTATTTTAGGGCTAGTAATGATTTGAGTCGTGAACCAAGCTGAATCAGATTGGAATCGCTGCATGCTCTTTGTTAGTATTTCCCACCATAAATAACAATTTAAAAGTGGCCAGGGGAGGGAGTCTGGTAGTTCAGAAAACTTTAAATATTACTTTATTTGATTTGCGGTTGTAACATAGCACTGAACAAGATTTTGGTGTTTTTGTTTGGTGTTGGTGTTTTTTTGGTTTTGTTTTTCTTTTAATTGTGGTGTACTGCTCTTGCCTTAATTAGTTCAAGGTGTGGAAGAAAGTTACATCAAACATTTGCTTTAGGTTTCCTATTTCTAATGGTCACTGCGTGCATACGTTTAGAAACCCTTTACTATTAGTTAGGATTGAGTTAATTGTACTGAATAGGCTGACTGGGGGTAAGAGGGATTTTGGGTGTTGATGGGAGAGTTTTATCTTCAACTCACTATGAACAAGTAATTATTTTAGTCAAGTACAGAAATAGTATATGGTTTAAACTGCAGTTTAATTGCTGAATTTGGCTTTGAAATGGTCTTTGAAAAAGCTGAAATTTTTAACTAAAAACCCACCACTACCACCAATCCCATGTACTGCTAACAATCGATTTAACCTTTGCATTTCTCTCTGGAAAAATATTATTGTCTCAGATTTCTCCCTTAAACGTTACTTTTTAATACTTCTATTACTAAAATACTTCAATTCTTATTTAAAAGTTAGTCTTAATACTTTTTCACAATTCTTTAGCATAAGCCTTCCCCAGCAGCTTCTCTTTCAGTTGTGGACAGGTTATTTCCAGCTTTATTTTCCTAGGAAAGCAGCAAAAGCCACCCAGGCTGTGCATTGTTTGTTCCCTTGTTTGTGTATCGAGCGAGGGCCAAAGTCCAGCACACAGGGGTGACAGGGCCAGCGCCTGGTGCTGTCCTGATCGGTTCTGTGGGTCCAGAGAGGATGCAGCATGCTGGCACCTGGGGTTGCTTGTACAGGTGTGTGGTACCTGAGGGTGACTGCAGTCTGCTTAGCATCCGTGAAATCGAGTGCGACCCTCTGTCCTGGTTAGCTGCCAGCATGACCTCTATTTAGGTGTAGAACTGGTGCGCATTCTGATACTGGTAATTGCTGTAGAAGGGGCAGAGATATACGCATGGCTTCAGAGAGTTCTCTGGAGTAGCAGACTTCCATCATTTCTCTGGATTTTGTTCTGAATCCTTGTTGACTCTTGTCAACACTTCAGCCGTGACTTGTTTCACCCTGGGGAGAAGCTAGCAGCATACATCTCAAGCATGCATATTACAGGCTAGGTCCTTTCAGTGGTTGTCTTCTCTCTAAGTACTTTTTTTAATCCAAATGTGATATTAAAAAAAAAGAACGTAGCTTTTCAGTATTATGCATACTATCCTTAAATAATGCTGACTTAGCTGGAGGCTTTACACCCGTCTAGCAGCCCAGAGCATTAAAATAGTCACTAGTCTGTCTGTTAATTTGTATGTTGAACGTGGAGAAATTTGGAAGTGGATTTTGAAACTGGTGTGATTCAATTACTACAGGAGGCTAAGCAAGCAAAACGTTAAAATACATGTGTTTAACTGCAGTAGTAATAATACTTCATCATAGAACACTTGTGAGGGAAAGAAAATGGTAAAAATAATACTACTTCTTCTGCCATTAACCCTTGATCTGGATGACAGTTGGAGCTAGATTTTCCCCACCCCCAGCCATGTTATGTATCAAATGAGAGTCCGAGACAAATATGTATCTAAAATTAGTTGTTAAGAGAGCAGTTTGGTAAGACTAGTCTAATGCAGTGTTTCCCTTTGTGATCTGCAGTATCCCAGCTTTCATATTTAATGACACTCAAGCAAGTACCTTTGAGGCTTGCTAAGCGTTTTTGTTGGGGTTTTGTTGTTTTTATTTTTTTTAATCCTGAGCAGCAATTCTTCAATACGATGAAAGCAAACACCATCCAAGGTTCCACCTATGTGTAGATACTGCAGGTGGCAGTCATATTTGCATGTTTACTATGTTGCACTTTGGCTTACTCTTTTATTACTGTACTTGTTTAGTGGTAACGTCACACCAGTAACACAGTTGTGTGTAGACCTATGGCGATCGATTACTACTTTGTAATTAAGGTGCTATTTTCAGACGCTTGCGTGAAGCCTTTTCTACTCCGAGAATTTGTGAACCCAACCAGAGACCAGCCAACAGGTTTCATTTTTCTTTGCCCAAAAAGCTTCTCTTTTTTTGTGAACAAGTTTTAAAACTGACTGATGCTGAGACTTAAAAAAAAAAAAAAAAAAAAAATTAAAAAAAAAAAAAAAATTAGAGAAAATAAATAACACAAAAAGTGATGTTACCCAAGCAAGGCCTTCTAATAAAGGAGTGGCCCCCTCACCCATCCCTCCCTACCTGTGCAAGTCCTGCTCACATCAGTTTCCTTCCATCCAATTAGGCGACCTGGGAGACCCAGCCAGCACCATCCGGAGGGACTACAGAGTGGTGATGGGGTACCTCCAAGAAGCTTGCAGGATGGAACCAGGGAAGGTTATGGCCACTCCACATCTCTTAAAGTACCGCTGGCTCGATCACTCCAGATTAGTGAAGAACTGCTGAGCAGAAACCAGTTTTCTACGGCTGCCAGCCATGGGCCATCTGGACTACAGAATCATGGACAGCACTTAATATTATCCAGGGAGGCTTCTTGGGCAAAACCACACTACGAATTCAATTTCAGCCGCATGAAATTCAGGGGAAATGGTGCACTCAGCAACATCAGTGACCTTCCTTTTCTTACAGAAAACTCTGCCTTTCAAAAAATGGCACTTCAAACTAAACAGGATGGGAAAAAGGACGTGAGCCATTCATCTCCTGTGGATTTAAAGATACCACAAGTTCGAGGCATGGACCTTTCATGGGAGTCCCGCACTGGTGACCAGTACAGCTATAGCTCTTTGGTAATGGGTTCACAAACGGAGAGCGCACTTAGCAAAAAGTTAAGGGCTATCCTTCCAAAACAAAACAGGAGAAGTTTGCTGGATGCTGGACCAGATTCCTGGGGCTCAGATGCTGAGCAGTCTACCTCTGGACAGCCATATCCCACCTCAGATCAAGAGGGAGATCCTGGCTCCAAGCAACCTAGGAAGAAAAGAGGGAGATACAGACAGTACAACAGCGAGATACTGGAGGAAGCAATCTCTGTGGTTATGAGCGGGAAAATGAGTGTTTCCAAAGCTCAGAGTATTTATGGGATCCCCCACAGTACACTGGAGTACAAAGTTAAAGAGAGGCTGGGCACTTTGAAAAACCCTCCAAAGAAAAAAATGAAATTAATGAGGTCGGAGGGGCAGGATGTTTCAGTAAAGATTGAATTAGATCCCCAGGGAGAAGCAGCACAAAGTGCGAATGAATTGAAAGATGAGTAGGGATGCTGTAGAGTGCCAATTACTTTGCAAACTGGGTGAGCACTACTGCATAGTTCAACCACCACTGAGCGCACCTGATTCTCTTATTTACTGCAATGCTCTTTCCTTTGCAGTTTAGTGTAGACTTGTGTGAACACAGGTGAAAGGTGTGCTCTGAATGTCACGTTGTAAATTTTTCTAGCCTGCTGTGGCGCAGTTTCCCTCCTTCACCTGTCCACTACCCTCCCCCCCCACCTTTTATTTTTCCATTTGCATGTTTCTCTGTAATAGAGAGTTACCTCACAAAGAATGCAGATCTGTGGAAGTGGACATCTTGCCAGTAGAGCCTGCCCGAACTTCTGGTGTTGGATTTTTCATGTCTGCCTTTATAGAAATAAGTCCACTTTGCTAAACTGATACTTTCCTAAAACCAGGCATCTTTCAAATGAGAATCAGACTGTCATTCTTCAAAATGTTGCAGAAATCTTTTTCCCTGTCCTTTGCTTTGATCCAGTTGATTGAAAGATTTGAGCTAAATCGAGTTATTTAGGAATGGTACCTCTCTTGAACTCAGAGACTTATCTATCAGATGGATAATCAATTGGGTCTAATTAGGCTCTCCACTATTTTCTTTCTAAATTAAACATACTTACCATTCATTGTCTGCTTAGTGCTCACCCGGAGGGGAGGGGAGGGAAAACCTACACACACTACCTTCAGAATATGTCAGTTAATTATTTGTAACACTACCTTCGCTGTAATTTTGTTTGATATTTTTGAAGGGTGATATTTAGACTCACCTGCTTGAGGATGTAGCCTTATCTCACGGAAGACAAGCTTCTCACAGTCAGGAGCAGTCAGGGTACACTAAATAATGTATTAGGGTATGCCTCATAACAGACCTATGGTTCTTTGTGACCTTTATGCTTTTTACAGACTTGATTCTGAGTTTACTAAACTATGTGGTTCCAACAACTAGTTTAAATGACTCTAATCTGGGGAAGGGGGATTTGTATAACAAACTACTGTGATATTGCAAAAAAGAAAAAAAAAAAAAAAGCCCAGAAAACGGTGATCTCAAACGTTACAACCTCAGTAGTCTGCCCAAATATCCACATTAGTGAAGGAGCTTGTTAATGTTCAGGGAAGAAGTAAAACACTGGTAGCCTGGTCTAATTCAGGTTCTGCATCATATCTATCTGTAATACTGTCAGGGTCGAACACTCCATGAACGGGTGTTTCCTTTTTAAATATTACAGTTGCCAGTAGCAGGAATTAATCCAAGTCCTGCTTTTTTGTTGTTGATTTTATTTTAATCTATTTTGATAGTGGTTTAGCACATGCTAGAAGAAGCATTTAAACACCGTAAAAGCACTCCGTAAACCACAAATCCAGGTATTTTTCAATATGATGATATTGTTATCATCATATGGAGATCCAGGATAAGTTTTGTACAGAACTTTTGTCTTTGATACTTTCTGCAGGAGTGGTCAGTAACTTCAGTGGAGCTTACTGGACTTACCACAGTATGACCAAATCGGAATTGCTGGTTCTTCAGGTAGAAACAATTCGGTCTTAATCTGTGCAAAAGGTGGATAGAATTACCTTTTTTTTTTTTTTTTTTTTTTCCCCCATTTGCACAACCAAAAGAAGCATTGGATTTTTTTTTTTTTTTTGTGAGAGCATTAAGTGATGTCAGTGACTGAAAGTGGTTTCTCAAAGTTCATGGGAGAGTGGCCTAGTTAAGTCCTAGAGATGCTGAATGAATTCTGGAACAGTTACTTCTATTAGCCTCTCCCCCTCCCCAGCAACTTCATATTTTCAAAGGTTAGGCACACCATTGCTGTTGTTTTAAATATGCACTGCTCATTCTTGAAAAGGACTGGGCATTTGGCCCTAAGTATACTTTGGTTTTGTTTACTTAATATATTTTAGTACTCAAAATCCTGGTTCCTCATAGCTCTCTAGTTGTCATCTTGGCATTTAAAGCAGTTTAAGCTCAGTAGCAGTATATAAACTCTGCAATACATTCCAGTTTAGCTGGTGATTGCAATAAAGGCGCAGTTAAACATGTGGTTTCATCTGCTGTTGGAAGTTATGGTAGAAAGTTTGCTGCAAGTTTAGAGGAAAAAAAAAAAATAACACAATTTTACTGTTCAGAGAGGTTTAACTTTTTGCAGTTGTCTTTATTTAAGCAACATGAGTTTTATAAAACTTGTCACTATAGTGTATGTGGAGTGCTCATTTTACTAACCTAAATATTTTGTATGTGTATGTTTAAGTGGGTGACAATCGTGCAGCAGAAGAATGGTGTGCCTACCCTTTAATGCTGCAGTTTTAAAAGAGAATTTGTCTTGTCATTTCAGACTGTAGGCTAAGAATTGTAAATAGATAGTGAGAAGTTGAGTACTCTTTATTTGCTTTGGTTAGAAAGTGGATTAAAAAGAACCAACAACAAACCAAACGCGTAACTTTCTCAGTTTAAATGTCCTGAGACCTGAAGATTGTAATACTCATGTTTGCAAAGCTTTTAAACACAACACTTGATCTGTGATAACTTAATATTCAGGTAATCTTTCTTTTTCAAGAAGCTTTTGAACAACCGTATTTCCTCCAAAGGTCTCTGTTTAAAAAGGAAAAAAAAAAGAAAAAAAAAAGTAGATTATTTTTTAAGCACTAATTGCATTACGTTGGTAACTGCAATATGAAATAGCCATTATTGTTTTGTGAAGCATGGTTGAGATTAGTTAGTGGTCCCTTTTTAAAATTTCATGAGCCTCTCAAAAAATAAAAACAAATTTAAAAAAAAAGCTGCTGAATATTCAAAAGATATATATTTTACCTTATTGTAGGTTTTGTAAATTTAGTCTGTAATATTCAGGTGCACCTTTTAATGTTACCTTTTTGTTTCAAAGTCCCATCTAATGTATTTTCTCTGAAGTGATTCATCCCGTAAAACTAGTATCACTCTAAGTGCTGCAGTGATCACTAATGTTTTGTTTAATTTTTTCACTACACATTTTTTACAGGCGCTTTCAGTGTAGCTAACTAGTAGTATTTGGGATCATTTTAAATATATGATTGGAATTAATGTTTGTCCATGAGCATGCTTACTTTTCTGCTGACCAGCAGTTTGCATGGCCAAAATCCCCGGTTGACCATGATTTGGTGTGGGAAGGTGTGGTTCACTGCTGTCTTTGTAACAAAAGCCTTGTTTCTCATGTTATTTCTGGTAAGTGGATGCTTATGCTACTTGGATCACTTGGACAGGAGATAAGGTTTGAAGTCTTGCTCCTGATGCTCTTTTGAGATCACATTAACGTGTAACATAGACAAACTGCAACCCTGTAAAAATGGAGACGTCATTAGGAGGCCGTTCAGGCATTTTGCGTCACTAGTTTTCTCTTATTCCCAAGAATGTCCATCCGAAGTAGTTATTGGACTTAACAGTATTGTTGTGTACTACGTTGATGTAGCTGAAAAAGCCTGACAGCAAGAAACTGTGAATAATATTTGTGGCAGTCTCTGAAAACTAGTTTTTCAGTCCAAGTATCATGAAGGAGAATCCCTCTCCCCTACCCCATCCTAGAAAAGTAATTTTATATTTTGTGTGTATAAAGTTTTAAGAATCAAGTTTCATATTGTACTGAAGTTTAGGTGTCGCTTGGTAAATCTTTGCTGCAGCATATAATTGAAGATGAGTAAGGCTTAGTGTGGTAGGGGTCCTGGTGTGGAGTTAATTATCGTACAGTTCTGGTGAGAAAGCCCAACATGTATGAAATGTGTCCTTTTTTTCTTTGGACTTGTAAGATGTAAAAGTGCTTTTTTAGAACTCTGACCTATTACAAACTATTACCTCACCTTCAGCCAGCTGGATCCTCATTCCACAGTGTTGTAGGCATTATTGTGGCCGTAATGCTTGAGTACAGCTATAGAGTTGAACGTTTCCAGTTAGATATTGTAGGGACATGCTTCTGGACTTATTTTTATTTCTGTCAAGAGCTATTTTATTTCCCAGTCATCCTCTGAATTTTTTTTTTTTTTTTTTTTTTTTTTTTTTTTTTTTTTTTTTTTGTAATGACTCAAGACAGTTTCCTTTAGAAATTTTGGGTTTTTTTCCCTGTTCTGCAGAAGAAGTTGCTGCAGGAGCAATATAGGTATGCCTTTACTTTCTTCTTGTTGCAGAAATCGTAACTTGATGCTTGCATTTACCAACCCTGTTGCTAGACCTGAAGCTGAACTCTGAATTTTCATGGCAATTGGAAAACAAAACAATTTTTAACAGTTCAGGTATACAGGTAGGATAGTGCCTCTAGTGAGGGAACACGTTCAGCTTCTGTGTTCTCATGCAACTCCTATACCACCTTTTTTCTAGAGCTTTCCAGTGGGAGGCAAATACACATGTGTGTAGACTGGTTAAGAGCAGACAAGGAATAGTCTGTGCTTTGTCTTGTGGCAGGCTGACATTTGAGTCCAAATATTTCTTTCATGAGAACCTGAGAGTACATTGCCTTCTCCTGGAAACTCACAGGAGCTGGCAAAGTGATTCAGAGGCTTTCGGGTTGAGTAAGCTTTGTATAGATTGGAACAACTTTTTAGTTCTGACTGAATTTCTTTTTATATCATCTGCAACCATTGTTATACAGGCAAAACTGGAATTACCATCTGCTTTTTTTCCAGTTTATTTTGAAGTACTGCTCTTAAGATGTCCTTGAGTCTTAGGAGAACAGAGTGTCCAAGGAGCGAAGGGAGCACTGTGCCATTCCCTTGTTTCTCAAAAACAGTGTGACTGCATCTGTAATGTGAAGAGCTCTTTCTTCAGTGCAGACAAAATTTTAACTCGTCAGTGTAAGAAAGCATACACTTGTTGCAGTCCAAACTCTTATGAAGGCAAAATTATTAACCCATATGAAAGCTTTGTTGCAATATTTTTAATAGCTTAAATTGTTAAAGGTAGAATGGGATCAGTAGTTTCCCTTGTTTTCATGAGGATCTGGTTTTCCCCTCAGATGTTTTGGAAACTAAATATATTTTCAGTCTAGGTCATTGTTGCTTTTTCTTGGTGCCAGTAGGTAAAGTTGATTGATATTGGTTTAGAAAGCTGTACCTAAAAAAATTGTTTTGAGACTGGTTTTGGTACTAAGAAGGTTTACACTCTATCTTGAGTTATAGCGAAAAATCAATAATTAAAACCTTTAGAAACCTGAAAATCTACACTGCTTATATGCAGTTCTGATGGGTGTAGCAAATAAAATAACTACTACAGTTACTAATTTCAAATTATCCATTGTATGAACACGATGTACTGTGCTCACTAAGCAGAGAGATTGTGGACTCAGAATGATCTGTAGGTCCACTCCACATATACCAGAAAAAACTGTTAAGTAGTCAGGGCATTCCGGTGTCCGTCTATCTCCCTCTCTCCTGTTCTTGCTCTGATTGGGACCAAGTCTCTATACCAGTATTACAGCAGCAATTTTGGACTTCACGTCCTATCGAATTATGCCTATATTCAGGTATTGTCAATAAAACCTTCAGATTAAGAGAGCTTTACTTA